CTCAGAGTCGGAGATCCTATTTGGTCGCTTCCAAAGAGACCCATATCCTGCAGTAGAGGAATGGACACAGCCGAGGAACAGACCCAGGATGTGACAGTAGGAATCAGAGGGCTCCAGGGCAGCTCAGCCAAGGCAGGCCTGTTGTGCTTGGTAAGGGTCCTGCTGGGGAAAACCTGGGTCCCTGAAACTGACGGGAGGATGAGTGAGTGGGGACCCTTGAATGGGTGGCCCACTCTTCTCTAATTAAAGAACTAACAGCACTGCATGCTGGAAGATGCTGTGGAGGCTTTTCCCCTGCGAGGCAACAGATGCCCCCTCCTCTGTTCCTGGCTGCAGGCTGATGCTAGGGTTAAAGCCCAGCATAACCCAGCTGGGGACATGCTGGGCCTGATCAAGAAGGAAGATGACAGGCCCGTAGAGCCAGGAGAGCAACAGCAAGCTAGCGTGGACGAGCAGAAGCCTGGGGAGCACTCCTGGGTTGGATTTTGAGGGTTCTTAACCAAGTGAGCCAGAACATAGACTGAATAAGCAAGAATTCATTGATTTGGGAGCACTTTCTCAGGACATGGAATTCCACACCCTACAAGGCCCCCAGAGGATTGGGCAAATTTACTGCTGGGACATGGTGTTTGCACAGTGCGCAAGGGCAGAATTGGGATTGACATACTAAACCCACGTGAGGTCTGTGGGGGTGAAAGCCAAGGGGAAACTCTGAAACTACCTTCCAGCCAAGAGAGTACATCAAAAAGGATATTGTACTCAGGGTGGGGAAGATGGCAGAGATCATTGTCATCACTAAAGACCTAAAGGATGCAAGGGTGCAGGGCCCTCTCTAATCTTCATTTAACTCATCATTCCAGCCCCTACGGAAACCAGACAGATCCTAGAGAATTACGGCCAGTGCTATGGTCTTAATGTTAGTGTTCCCCCAAATTCATATTCTGAAATCCTGACCGAGGGGATGACATTAAGAGGTGAGGCCTTTGGGAGGTGAATGGGATCAGTGCCCTTATAAAAGAGGCCCAGAGAGCTTCTATGCTCTTCCACCATTTGAGAATGCAAAGTGAAGTCACCATCTATGAACCAGAAAGCACTGCGCTCACCAGACACTGAACAGCTCTATGCCTTGGACTTCCCGGCCTCCAGAACTGTGAGAAATACATTTCTGTTGTTTATAAGTCACCTGGTTTATGATATTTTGTTATAGCAGCCTGCATGGGCAAAGACAGCTAGCATATCCTCAATCAAGTGGTCACCCCGATGGCAGCTGCTGGAATGGTCTTCTAAATGACAGCTTCAGTGCCAGCTTGGTGGCAATACTCCAAAAGGCCTCTATAGGATGCTATGTCCCCTGTAGGAAGAGTACATGGGCCTGGGAACCAAGGGATGAAAGCAGGAGTGGATTTAAAAAAATAAGTAAAAAGAAAAGGATAGGCCAGGCATGGTGGCTCATGCCTGTAATCCCAGCACTTTGGGAGGCCAAGGTGGGTAGGTCACTTGAGGTCAGGAGTTTCTGAGACCAGCCTGGTCAACACGGTGAAACCCCCCGTCTACTAAAAATACAAAAAAAAATTAGCCAGGTGTGGTGGCACATGCCTGTGGTCCCAGCTACTCAGGAGGCTGAGGCACGAGAGTCGTTTGGACCTGGGAGGCAGAGGCTGTGGTGAGCCATGATTGCACCACTGCACTCCAGCCTGGGCAACAGAGTGAGACTCCATCTCAAAACAAAAACAAAAACAAAACCAACAAAATGAAAAAGATAAAAACAAAAAACAAAAAAGAAAGCAGGAGTGGCTCACAGTTACCATCACACCCAATGACCCAGTGGGGGAATTTTGTGCTTTTATTCCCACAACTCTGAGCTCTGCGGAGGGAGCCGCCCACAGACTGTATGCTAGGACTGCTGCCTGGGCCCTTGGACTGCATGTGCTTGGGGCCAGCATGGAAGAAAAGGGGTTGTGTGGTGGCAGGGGTAACTGACACATCAGCAGGCGGAGGCCAGGCTGCTTCTGTGCAATGGGGCTAGGGAGGAACATGTGTGGAACCCACATTTGGCCTACTTGGGGGCCTCTTCTGTTTTAACGGAGTGGACACTTGCAACATCCCTGGCCTGAGGAAGGTGTGCTTATTAAGGCCTCAGTGTCCTCAGGAATAAAATTTTTCCAGGTTAGCCACCAGGACCTGCTGTGGAGTCAGCTGAACGAGGGGAATTGAGATGGGATATGGACAGGAGAGGATGGGTACCAGTGTGGCCCTAAGATCTGCTGTAGCAACAGGGGCCACATCCCCAGGAAGACACACTGAATCGTGGAGGAGCTGCTCCCTGCCCCTGGATGGAAGATCAGATCTCAGCACCCGGCAGACCGTGGCAGTGTGGACCTGGACAGCTGCAGAGCATGGCTGGCTGCAGCCCCAGTTACCACCCCTCTGGATCCACCCAGCATTTGTGCTGAGACCACAATTCCCCTAGACTGCTCTCAACCGACAACTAGACAGGCTGGGAATCCAGCGCAGGCCCTTTCCTGTGGGACGCAGGAGTCCTCTGATAGCAATGATGGCCCAAGGATGGCACAGTGCTTGGCGACGCTGTGCTGCCATCCTGAGACTTTCTGCTCAGCCCTCCTTTCCCCATCCCCTTTCATGGGAGGCGGACCAGCAGCATGCTCTGAGGGCTCCCCTGCCACCTGGTGCTCCTGCCTGTGTACTTTGCAGGTGTCCCCCAGTGACTCTTGCATGTCTAGTCTCAGCTTGGCGTCTGCTCCTTGGGGGACCTGAACTAACATAAGAGCTTCAGACTCCATCCCTCCAAAGTTCATTGGGTCCAGTCTTCTGCTTCTAGCCTGGGCTGTCCGTGCTCACAAGACCGAGGAGATGGAAGCCCCTCTCCTGAAAGGACAGAGGATGTCTCCTCCTTCCTCCTTGTCAAGACATTGGCTTTGAGTCCTCTGGAAGTCCTTCCTCAGACCTAGTTTAGAGCCTCCCAGCTCTCTAAATGGTTCCTGCCACCTCAGTGGTCCCTCGCCCAGACACCGTGACGGACGTTGAGTGGAGTGCCACGGCCTTAGCACCCTTGGGTGCGTGTGCAGCATGGACCTGGCCCACATAGGGGGCCTGGGCCCACCCGGGCTGGGGCCGCCGAGCTTGACCCCCAGGCTCCCTGCAGTCTTCCCACCTCCCTTGGAACCCCCGTGGTGAACAGCGCATGCTCTCTACCTGGCTCCTTCTCACGACTTTTTGGGAAGGAGAATTGATGACAACATCAATAATGTGACTTGTATACAAGCTGCACTGCCAACAAACCCGAGTTCTGGGGATACATCCTTTTCTCGCCCGGTAATTGCTCTGTAAGCCAAAAGGGATTACACTTCTCTTGGCAACCACAACAGGGCCTCCCCAGGACGCCAGAGCTTCCCTTCTGCTGGTGACTTCCGTACCGCCCCACAGGCTGTTCACAAGCCTCTGTCCACCCAGATGCCCTAACCATGGCCCCTGGGCTCAGGACATAGGGTGTAGGTGCTCTCCTGGGCCCCTCAACCCACCCCTCCTGCCCGTGGCTGGTGGGTGGAGATGGGCTCACTGTGTTCTTTGTCCCAAGTGGCTCTTGAATGGACACACTCATCAGGGGATTCCACTAACCCAACATAAGCAGAGCCCAGGGAGGGAGGGCAGTGAGGGAGGAGGAAGAGTCAGGGCCATGAGCTAGGGTCTGGGCTTGGATGAGAGAGGAGGGGAGCAAAAGGAGGACTGTGCAGAGGGATGAGCGAAGGCAGTGGGCACTGTCCTGAATCTGCTCCTTGTGCCCCCAGGGAGGGCTGTGCATGCCAGGCATGGGGCAGCAGTCAGAGAACAAGACCGAGAAGTCGTCAGTGGGGATTAGGGCCAGCTGCAGCTGTTCCATTCCGTCACAGAGATTTTTATGCCGAGCCTGGGCCCGCTGTACGGGGGATCCCACTGGAGTCTTCCAAGATTTTTCAAATTGCTCCCTTCCATCATCTTCCTTCTCCCTCCAGCCCCAGGCCCCCACTGCTCCCTCTTTCTCCTCCTCTTCTTTCACCATATCTCTGACAAGTGAGGTTAGTAACTCTTGACTGGAGGCTGAGGGAAAAGGCCCATTTGGAGAACCCCGAATGGGGCATGGCTTTCTCTTTTCTGGAGATAGTGGTCTCCCCGCTCCCCTCCCTCCCTTGCTTTCAGGCCTGGGATGATGTGCTGTCTCTGTCCTGAGGCAGGCATGAGCTGGTGTCTGCAGGTGGAGATTCTTACCCTGCTTGGTGCTTGCAATGCCCTGGCCCCCACGCAGGACGCTGAACCCAAGCTCTCTGGGCTGTGTGTCCACTCTCTGGGCCCTTGGAGCTGAGGGGCCGCCAGGCAGCAGAGCTGGGCCCTCCTGCTGACAGTAAGCCCGGGGCTGCAGCAGCCTTGGCATTAGCGGTGCCAGGCGGCCCTGGGGCTCTCAAGTCCTGCCCAGGCTCTCCTGTGTTCAGGTGAAGTGCCCAGCATCTGCTCATCATTCTGACTGCTGCCTGCTTAGGGCCTGGACTCGAGAGCCAGGGTCCCGGGTGGGAAGCCCTCCCCAGTGTCCCTGGGTGATCTTGAGCAAGGCTTTTGTTACGGTTTGAATGTGTCCCCCCAAATTCATGTATTGGAAAGTTTATCTTCAGTGTAAGGGTGTGGGAGGTGGGGCCTAATGAAAGGTGATTAGGTCACGGGGGCACCACCCTCATGGATGGATTGTCTCTATCAAGGGAGCAGGTTAGTTATGGAGAGAGTGGGCATGTTATGAGAGTGAGGCTGGCCCCTTCCTGCTCTCTTGCTTTCAGGGCATGCTCTCTTGCCGGCCGGCCTTCCACCATGGGATGACGCAGCAAGAAGGCTCTTGCCACAGGCAGGCCACTCGACCTTGGACTTTCCAGCCTCCAGAACTGTAAGAAATAAATCTTTTTTATATATTGCCCAGTCTCAGGTATTTTGTTATAGCATCACAAAACAGACTAAGACACTTCAAGTTCACTGAGCCTCCGTTTCCTTATCTATAAAATGGGGCAACGGAAGGACTTATATTGCTTGTTGAACAATCTGTGTGATAAGAACAATGTTTGAAAAGTGACTAGCCAGGTGCCTGGCATGTAGCAAGTGCTCCACATGTCATTATGATCCCTTCTGTTGGAACCAGCAGGCCCATGCAGTGCAGACTGGGATGTGGGGGTGCACCTCAGATGGGAAGGAGGGTGGCACAAGAGCTGCCCAGCTGCTGTTTGAGGAAGGATGTTGTGTCCACAGTGAGTTCTGGCTCAGTTCCATGTCTCTAGGTTGGTTAAGGAATAGCAAATAGCTGGCGGTCCTTTGCGCCCTGGGTAGTATCAGAAGGTGGAGGCTGGGCTGGCTCTCTGGGCTCAGTATCCTGGGAAGGGAACGCTACCTCCCCGGGGGCAGGATTTGGCACCTCCAGATGGGTTCATGTTGGTACTTCCTGCCAAGAGCAAGGATGGCTGTACCGTGGAGACAAAGGCCTGGCTCTCCTGCCAGTGCCAGGAGGGCGTATGTTATCTTTGGGTCCAGGCGGTCTGGCCTGGGTCTCTGGGCTGCACTGTATGGGTAACACCCAGAGCCCCCAAGTCTGCTGAAGGGAGCCAGATATGGGCAAAGGGGGCAGGCATTCAAGTGGATGCTGGCCCTCTGAGTGGCTGGGAGTGGGGCCAGGAGGAGGGGCCGCTGGCAGCACCAGGAACTAAGGTGCAGGGTACAGAGCTGGAGGTGGGGCTTGGGGGAGGAAGAGCTGGGCACCAGGCTGGGGCCAGACTCATTGGAAATGCCAGTCTCCCAGAATGGTCTGTCCAGCATCCAGTCCCCCTTTGCCCAGGGTGCCTGCAGTGCTTGGGTGGGCCTCCCTGTGCTGCCCTGCCCTCACCTCCTCCACCTCCTCTGTCTGGTTTCCCTCTAAGGCAGCTGGGCTCATGGCCAGGCTGCGTGGGGCTAGGCTGGGGGCACTCTCCTCAAGGTTCAGTTGTCCTTACCGAGGGTTGGTAGGAGGGGGACACCCCCAGATCATAGTAGGGGGGCTGCAGGGACAGCTTCTGCAGCTCCTCCTCTTCTTGCTGCTGCTGCCTCCCTGGGTCCAGGTGGACAACCTGGAAGAGAAGGTGGTGAGTGCTGCACAGACCTTTCCATGCCCCTGCTCCACGTGGCCCTCATGGACCCCCAGTTTGATTAGGACTCCTCTTCTCAGTTCCCATGCACCCCCATCCTGGCATCCCCCACACTGGTGGCTGTCTTGGAGGGCACAGGCGCACCCTGAGCCTTCAGCTTTGCTGGCTCTAGCAGGAACCCAGCTTGGGGCCAGGCACCTGAGAGGCGCTCAATGCATTTTTTAAATGAATGAAAGGACTGTGCAGTAGAGGAAGAGGTCCCGTGGGGGCCGGGGGTAGGGAGGGTGCTAGGTGGTCGGTCTCTCAGGGTATGGCACATGGACCCCTCTAGCTGGACCCGGCCTTGTGGGAACTGGACCATGGAGGTGTGGCAGCTCTGTCTTCAGCTTGGGCTCTCTCCCTGGGGCCATCTCCCATTTTTCTCCCTCCCCGCAGTCTAGGGACCTTGTCCTCTACTGCCTCAGGCCCACCTGGATATCCTCAGGTGCAAGGGAGCTCTGCCTGCTGGGAGAAGGCTCCGGCTTCTGGGAGAGGGGCAGGTCGGTCCTGGAGACAGAATGAGGGTAAGCTCAGCACAGGAGCACACACGGGGGCTCTCCCCATCAGGCCACCACACAGCTACTGGTCCCTCAGCCCCACTCATAACAGCAGGCCTGGGCGGTCTACTTCCCAGGCAGCCTCCTGAGAGGCCAGAGCTTGGGCCAGGGCTCCTCAGGGTCACGGGTTAGAGGCTGAGAGTGCCTGGCCACCTTTCCCAGGTGTCTCTGCCCCTGACCCCAGCCCAGCTTGGGACGGGAACCATGTGAGTCTCAGGTTTCCTAGCTCAAAGGACAGGGGGGAACCAGCAGCAGCGCTGTGGGCCCTCACCCAGGGCGGGCAGGAGGCCTCAGGTGCACGGTATGTGGCACTGACAGCCTTAGCCAGCACGAGAAAAGACGTGATGCAAGATTTTAAAGATGAAAATCAACGTAAAAATCCATGATGAATAAAACGTCCACACTGTAAGTAAAGACAGGATCCGTCACAGTGGTGTGCTGGGTGCCTGAGGCGAAAGGAAAAGTCAGTTGTTCTAATTCTGTCTTTATTTACAACGTGGACATTTTGTTCATCATGGATTTTTGCTTTCATTTTGATTTTTTAAAATATTGCATTAAAATATGATTTATCATTATGGTTGAGGGTTTTGGCTTCCCCCATATATTTTGTGCCTCTCTCTCCTCTCTGGCCTGGGTCTGCCCTCACTCCTTGTCAGCCTGGGTCTGCCCTCACTCCTTGTCAACGGCTGGGAGCATGTAAACTGTTGCAAATTATTTAACCTCTCTGTGCCTTAATTTCCTCACTATACATTGTGGATTGTAATCGTGCACCTGCTCCTCCGAGCTGCTGTGAGGATAAAATGCATCTTTATGAAGCCCCTCTGAGCTGGGGCGGTGCCTGGCACGCAGCAATCGTCACTCAGGAGGGTCACCTCTTCCTGCCAAAGGGTTAGTTCCTCGTCCCCCAGGGTGGGGAGGCCCTAGAAAGGGCCTGAGCTTTCACAAGTTTAGGTGCTTTAAGTCTGGGGCTCCCAGGGTGGTGGGGAGCAGACCAGCGAGAGTTTAGTGGGCAGAGTCCTGCCTGGCTCACCCGGCCCCATCCGTGTCTGGTGGGCTCTTCTGCTGCCGGTTGTACAGGAAGAAGACAGTGAGCACCACACCTAGGATGAGGAACACAGCCACGGTGCCCCCCAGGAGCCTGGCTGTACTTCCCAGACCCCTCTGGGGGCGGGGCTTTTCTGGAAACAAAAGACAGGGAAGAGAATTAGAGAGAGAAACTCAAGTGAGCTGAGAAGAGTCAGAGATGTGACAGAGTCAGACCCTGAGGCAGTACTCTGCCTTGACACTCCACCCCCAGCTCCCCCGACCCACTGTGCTCCAGTTCTAGGAGGGGCTCCCAGTGAGTGTGGGGTGGAGCCTCCTCCTCTAGTTCCCTATGACCCTGTGAACCCAGACCCTGCAGACCCTGCGACCCCAGACCCTATTCTGATCCTGAGATCTGATCCTGAGATCCTGGAGGTAGACTGAGGGTGGGGGTACCTCCTGGGCAGGCAGGGGTGCTGAGATGGGGTCCCCACCCCATCGTTCCATTTCTGGCCCTGCAGGGAAGATTCCTGTTGAGGAGTTTAATTTCTTTCCCCTCCCTATGCAATTAAACAAGCAAATGAACTAATTGGTGCCTCGCCCTCCCAGCTCAGGAGAGAGAGTGAAGATCAGGAGGGAAAGGCAGGAGCTGGGAGGGTTGATGAAGAAGGGGCACTTGGGGGTGCCTCCCAGGAAACCAAACCTCTTCAATACAGATAGGTGAAAAGCCCAGAGGGCTGTGGTCTAAGGTGAGGGACTGAGTCCACCTTCTGGACCCACCTGGCCATGGACCCAGAGGATTGCTGGGCTTGTTGAGGTATTTCGCAGTCTGAGCTGGAGTCACTGGTCTGTCCCTGAAGCCCAGAAGGCTGCAGAGACTGACCCTGTGGCCAGGGGCACATGCGGCTTCTCAGTGGTCCAGGCTTGGCTGTGAAGCCACAGCTGGCCCTTCCAGTTCCTCCTTCTGCTGGGCTCGATTTCTCACCTCTGACCTTTACAACCCCAGCATGAAGTGGGGGGTAGGGACTAAGGAGAAAATCACATACTTATGTACTTCTTTCTCTCCTTCCTCCCCACAACCATATTACATATAATTAAACACGGGGAGCACCTGAATAGAAATGCCAAATTGCAGTTTGCAATAAACATCATGCAGCCAATTTTCCTAAAGTGGAATTGACAAGTCCCTTTTTTTTTTTCTCTCTCTCTCTCTGTCTCTCTCCTCTTCTCTCTGCTCCATTCCCGTGCCCTGAAGGAGGGGATATCTTGCTCCCAGTAAATTTGCAACCCCTCTCTGGCTTCTCTGCAAAGGCTCTGGCCCCAGCATCCATCCTTCCACAGCTGGTGGCTGTGGCCACCTTGGGAAGGCAGTTTCCTGTGTTGCCCAGGCTGGTCTCAAGCTCCTGAGCTCAAGTGATCCTTCCACCTCAGCCTCCTAAAGTGCTAGGATTACAAGCAGGAGCCACCGTGCTTGGCTCCAGAGTGATCGTTCTAAACTACAAATCAGATCAGGCCACCTCCCTACTTAAAATCCTCCAAGGGTTTGTGGCCTTTATCAAAGCATCTTAGGGCTGAGGCCTTTCACGACCTGGTTCCTGGAGGAAACGCCATGCTGCCCCCAGCCTGGACCTCTTGCAGCTCCTGGACAGGGTGCCCCTGCTTCCTCTCATGCTCAGGTGCTAGTAGGAGCCACTCTGTCTACCAGGGTCTCTCTTTCCTCCCCCTTCTTTGCCAGGCCAATCCGTCCTGCAGGTTTAAGCTGGATGTGCTTCCTCTAGAGAGCCCTCCCTGCTTCCTCCACCGGAATGGGGGTCCTCCTCTGGACTTCCCCTGAACTCTCTTTCAGTCTCTTTTCTTTTCTTTCTTTCTTTCTTTCTTTTTTTTTTTTTGAGACAGAGTCTCGCTCAGTCACCCAGGCTGGAGTACAGTGGCGCCATCTCGGCTCACTGCAAGCTCTGCCTCCCGGGTTCATGCCATTCTCCTGCCTCAGCCTCTCCAGTAGCTGGGACTACAGGTGCCCCCCTACCGCACCCGGCTAATTTTGTTTTTGTATTTTTAATAGAGACGGGGTTTCACCGTGTTAGCCAGGATGGTCTCGATCTCCTGACCTCGTGATCTGCCTGCCTCGGCCTCCCAAAGTGCTGCGATTACAGGCGTGAGCCCGGCCTCTTTCAGTCTCTTTTCTACAGACTGTGACTGCACGTCTGACTTGTCTCCCCAGCCCTGCACAGTGCCTGCTATGCAGAAGTGCTCAGTAAGTGCGGTGAATGAATGAAGGCCTGACTGAATGAATGTGCAGTGGGCAGTTCTGGGAGAGGGTCCACTGGGCCTCTGGAATCTCACCTTCCACTAGGGGGAGCTCTCACCTTGAGTCTGGTCACCTCCATGCTGGATGCTACCAATTCGGTTTCCCTGGACACAACCCAGACCTAGATCCCCTTTTCTTCTCAGCACAGCTGAGGCAGGCTGGCATTTCCAGAGGGCTAGGGTGGGAGGGGGAGCAGTAGGGAAATGAACACATACCCTGTCTGGCGCACAGAGTTCAGATTTCTCTTCTACCATGGTTGGCCCCATGGTTGACAGCTTGACATGGGATCCAAGCGGGAGGGAGGGACAGGTTCAGGACAAAAGGCTGGGATTTCAGCCCCTACGCCCTGCCTCCAGGGAACTTCTCTCAGAAGCTTTCACCCATCACCCCCTCATGGACTCTGCAGCCACTTTGCCAAGAGAGGGAGGCAGCTGTCTCTATGAGGGCCCTTCATCATCCTTATGGTGAATACAAAAACACAGCCATGCCTTGGTATCTCTGGGGGACTGGATCCAGGACCCCTGGCGAACACCAAAATCCAAGCATGCTCAAGTCCCTTATATAAAATGGTGTAGTATTTGCCTATAACTTATATACATCCTCCCATATACTTTAAATCAACTCTAGATTACCTGGTACAATGTAAATGCTGTGTAAATGGTTGTAATACTGTATTATTTAGCAATAACAACAAGAAAAAGGTATACATATTCAGTACAGACACTACTATCCATTTTCTTTTTTTCTGAGTATTTTTGATCTGTAGTTGGTTGACTCCATGGATGCGGAACCCATGGATACAGAAGACTGACTATGTAACGAGTGAGTCTGTGAATGCGCTCGTGTGGGCATTAGGAAAACCAAAGGCTAAACGGGGCGGGATGCAGTGGGCAAGGCCTCACACATGCCAGGGCCACAGTGGATAACTCTGATTTCTTTCCATCCAAATTGCCCTCTCTCCCTGTCCTACCCTCTCAACATATGAGTGCAACTTCCATTGTCACCGTGGGCCTTGCCTGATCCACCTGGAGGGTCCTGCCCTGGTGGAAGAAAT